GATCAGCTGCCTCTTGCACACTGGGGATGTGCCCGCAACCAAGGTACATGCCCTTGCCCGGAATCGAACCCGGGACCTTTCAGTCCGCAGGCCGAAGCTCTATCCACTGAGCCAAACCGGTCCTGGCTTTATCTTAAATTTTTTTGTGGGGCAGAGGAGTAGGATTTAAACAGTGGAAATTTATTCTTACATATTTGGAAGCTAGAAGTCTGGAATAAGTATTTTTTATAGTGTTGAAATATACATAACAAAATTTACCATTTTAACCATTTTTAAGTGTACAATTCCATGGCATTGAGTATATTCACATTGTTTTGCAATAACCTCCACCATACATCTCCAGGACTTTTTCATATTCCCAAATGGGAGCTTCATACCCATTAAATAATAACGTCCCATTACCCACTCACTCTCAGCCCTTGGCAACCACCGTTCTGTTACCTGTTTCTATGAATTTGACTCCTCTTTGTAACTTCCGTAAATAGTCACTTAGTAATTGTCCTGTTGTGACTGACTTGTTTGAGTTAGCATAATGTCTTCAAAATTCATGCTTTTTACCCTTTTATTTTTCTTTTATGTTTATTTTTTATACCTATGAAAGTAAGATTTGAAAAGGATAGTATTATTAGACTAATAACATAAAGCAGCATCATGCCCCATCCCCTCTAATCTCCATTTTCTCTCCCCAGGGAAACCTTTTTAAACTGTTAGCTGTTTATTCTAGTGTTTACTCTGGATTTCTGAATAACAGGATTTAATGCTATGTCTCAGGGTTTTTTGTTGTTGTTGTTGTTGTTGTTGTTGTTGCTGTTAATTCCTTACTTTGGAAGAGGAGGATAAACCCTTCTCCCAATATATATACTTCTACCTACCTCCTAATTTAAATTTCAACCCATTTTGGTTAACTTAATCGTTATTTAAGTAAATATTAAACACAGTTGATTTCTAATCTAATCGTATTCTATCTTCTATGCTACCCCAGATGTCCTCATTTTTTTTTTAATGGCAGTGTGCAGGCCCCAGGATGTACATCATGACAGATCTATAGCTTCCCTAGTTTTCATTCTAGTGGGCATCTGACCCAGTTCTGGCCCAATGAGATGTAGGGGGAAGTTGGCCAGGGTTTTCTGGGAAACATTTTCCTCTTCAATGGAGACAGTCCCCTGAGGAAGAGGCCCCATGTGACTCCACACTCTCCCTTCTGGCCTGGGACACTTGGTATATGAGGGTGTAAGGTCCATCTCAGCCTTCTTGGAGGGTTTTGTGGCCATCTCATTTAAGCAATGCAATTTGGGCAACTTATATTTCTGTTCTCAGCTCTCTGTTTGTATGAGTGTGTGCTTAATTCTGATTCTGGAAGCAGCCTTAGTTAAACAGAATTTATGATAAAAACGCTCTGAAAGTAGAGTTAACTGCTGCCTTGTCAGTTAGCCATGTTACAGTGGACATTCTCTAGGTGGTTTTATTTCAAGTTACACAATTTCTTAGGTACATAGCTTAATGCTTGGATTATCACTTAAACTAAGCCACTTGACCTTGGAAGAGGCCCTTAGACTGGAATGACCTTGTTTCTGTATTAACCATCTTGGGCCTCATTCATTGGCCTTTTTGTCCTGTGCCATTTGAAAATGCACTAGTTTTTAGATCAATAGGTAGAGAAGGGTTGTTTCTTTTTACTCTCCATCAAAGGGACTTTGTGTTACTGTCGTGTTTGCTTATAATGTCAGCATTAAGAACATGGTGGCTCAAGATATTAGATTTTTTTATTTTATTGATTTTTTACAGAGAGGAAGGGAGAGAGTTAGAAACATCCATGAGAGAGAGTCATCGATCAGCTGCCTCTTGCACACCCCCTACTGGGGATATGCCCGCAACTAAGGTACATGCCCTTGACTGGAATCGAACCCGGGACCCTTCAGTCCCCAAGCCGACGCTCTATCCATTGAGCCAAACAGGTCTCAGCAAGATATTAGATTTATCCTAATATCTGGTCACCAAGGGATAAAGAAAATTTATAAATTTTTCTAAATGCTAACCTTAGATCTGAAAGTTTCTGTTTATTCTGAAATCCAGACATGAAAACTAAAGTATTACATGCACATTTTATTTTATTTTAAATGCTAGAGGCCCAGTGCACCCTCTTGCAATCCACGACCCCTCAGGGGATATGGGACTGCTGGTTTTGGCCTGGTCCTTGCAGGCCAGGCTGAGGGACCCAGGCCTCTAGTATGTATTTAAGATCTTTGGTTAATCCCTTCCCACCCATCCTCCTCTCCCCTTCCTTCTGAGATTCATCAGTCTGTTCCATGTTTCTATGCCTGTGCATTGAGTATTGGCCCCCTGGTGGTCAGTGCGCATCATAGCTACCAGTTAAACAATTGCTTGTGAGCTTGATCCCCAATGTAGGGCATGCAGAGGGTATATACAATATATGTATATATACCCATATATTCATATATACATTTTTTAATTGATTTTAGAGAGGAAGGAAGAGTGAGAGATAGAAACATCAATGATGAGAGAGAATCATTGATTGGCTACCCACTGCATGCCCTACATTGGGGATCAAGCTCACAACCCAGGCATGTGCCCTGACCAGGAATGGAACTATGACCTCCTGGTTCATAGGTCAGTGTTCAGCCACTGAGCCATGCCAGCCGGGCAGCCAGGCAATACATGCACATTTTAAAAACAAAATAGAAAAAAGAAAAATTGAACTGAAAAGTACATAAAATGCAAAGTAAAATGTCAGTAGACAACTGCTTTTAATAGTTTCTGTTTATAGTGCTTTTATTGGTTACCACTGTTGCTGTATACCACAATTTCTTGATTTCTTAACATTAGATAATACCATTGACTCTCAATGAAAGATGAGGAACCTAGGACACTTTCATTACTTTCTACCTCACTTCTCCTCCCCTCTCAGTTTGCCACATTCTTTGTCCACGCAATACTTGTACATGAATGTTTGTAGGAGCATTATTCAGAATGAAAGCAACTCAGATATCCATCAACTGATTAAATGATAAAATGATATATACCTAAAATAGAATGTTATTTAGCAATAAAAAATAAAGTACTGATAAAGGCTAAGCATGGATGAACTCTGATAATATTATGCAAGTGGAAGAGGCAGTCATAAAAAGACCACATAAGATTCCATTGATATGAAATGTTCAGAACAGGCAAATCTATAGAGACAGAGAACAGTTCCTACGACTGGAAGAGGTTGGAAGAAAATGGGAAGGGACTGCTAAATATGTGTGGGTTTTCTTTTGAGGGTGATGACAATGTTCGAAAATTGATTGTGGTGATGGTTGCACAATTCTGCGGATTTACTAAAACTTTGAGTGAATTAATTATATGTGACATATATTGACAAAGTTGTAAAAAATAAATCTTATCACCGATGCAGTCATAAAAGTTCTTAAAAGTTTCTCTTATACCTCACATATAATGGTAGAATCTCTATTTCTTATTTCCTAGTTGATTCATTTATAGTTTTTAATATATATGTTGTTGCTAATGTGTAATTTAGAAATAGAAAGCTTATTTTTATCCTGTGCTCTTTTCTAACATCTCATCTCCAGTTTCTATGCTTGATGTATTGCAGAAGTGAGAGTAATCTTGTTCTGACTTGCAAATTTAATGTTGGTAAGAACATTTCAAAGTGAAACCTCACGTCTCTGAAACTTAATAGTGACAAAAAAAAGTGGAATGACACAACAGATATGCAAAGTCCATCCACTCAATTTCCTTCCCTTTGTTCATTGGGAAGCTATTAGGCCGCCTCTCTGCCTATTTGCTCTTATTTTACACCAGAGGCCTGGTGCACAAAATTTGTGCAATGGGGGTGTGGGTTTGTGTGTGTTCCTCAGCCCAGCCTGCACCCTCTCCAATCTGGGACTCCTCGAGGGATGTACCTGACACAATCCAGGACTGTTGGCTCCTAACCGCTCGCCTGCTTGCCTGCCTGATTGCCCCTAATCACTTCTGCCTGCCAGCCTGATCACCCCCCAACCGCTCCCCTGCAGCCTGATCAATGCCTAACTGCCCTCCCCTGCCGGCCCAATTGCCCCTAACTGCCCTTCCCTTTCCACCTTACCCATTCAACAGACTTCACTCAAGGTCACCACATCTTTCCTCCTGAGCTTGCTGTAGTCTTAGAATCAGCAGCAGAGCTCAAGCATCCACTACATTAGGTCATCATTAGGCTCTTGTAAATGGACAGCAGCAGGTTTCTTAACTGTTTATCAGGTAAAGTGCGCTCTGGAACTATTATAAAATATTCTGGTAGCACTCACTGGTAAGCAGACTGGTTTGTCGGTTTTAGCTTCTGTACTGTAGTTCTTTCTGGAAAAAATGTCTGTCTCAGTGCCTTCAACTTAAGGGTGGCCATCTGTTGGTTATTTTTTCACAAACTTTATAACTTTATTTAAAACTTTTTTGAAGAGCTATGTGATGATTAGGCCAGATATAAATAAATCATGGCCCTGGCATAAGGAATTCACAGTCTTGAGAGGCACAAATAGATTAAACAAGTGTCCTGGAATAAGTCATGTGTGTTGAATAAGATGGGGGGAAAGAATATCTTTTTTTTTTTTTTTTTTTTTTTTTTTAATAAAAAAAGGGCACTGGCTGGGTAGCTCAGTTGGTTTTAGCATCGTCCTGAAATGCCAAAGTTGCGAGTTCAGTCTGCAGTTAGGGCACAAACAAGAAGCAACCAGTGAAATGAATGCATGAATAAATGGACCAGTAACATTGAAGTAAGCTTTGTAAATGAAAGTGATGTTGGAACTGAAACTTGAAGGATAAATAGGGCATTTCCCCAGTTGGAAGGATAGCAGAGAGACCTAGGAAGTTCGAGCTAACCCTTTTTGCTTGAATTGTAAAATCTTTAAGGGTTAGAATTAGATGGGGTTTTAAATAAATTCTTGGGTAGTATTATATGTTGATAACTCCTTGATTTGTTTCAAACTCTGTCCAACGATGTTTTCCAGGAACCCGAATCATTTATGATCGAAAGTTTCTGTTGGATCGTCGAAATTCTCCCATGGCTCAGACCCCACCCTGTCATCTGCCCAATATCCCAGGAGTCACCAGCCCTGGCACCTTAATTGAAGACTCCAAAGTAGAAGTAAACAATTTGAACAACCTGAACAATCATGACAGAAAGCACGCAATTGGTAAGAGAATTGCTAGTATTGGGGTTCAAGAGGGCGACCCTAGAAATCTGAATATCAGCTCTGGGTTGGAAAATATTGATGCTTCAGTTATAACCAATGGCCAATTAATTATATGTCTCTTAAGTTCTCCTTCCCCACTACCCTCACCAAAGTTAATTGAAATGTTATAGAAACCCTAAGTTTCAAATAATCATCAAATTCCATCTAGTGGATGCAGAGGGGGGAAAAGATCAGGGAACTTGGGCTTTCTGCAACTAGGGAAAACACAAAAAAACAAAACTGTTTAGCTTTTGTGTACCATAAGTGTTGGACCTTTTTTAGTTAAATTCAAAATATTGTGGCAGTTAACTGGTTAATAACCCCCATTTCTAGCTTGTGGGGGGAAGCAATATGTTTTTCCTCCCTGTTTTCTAGGACTGCCTATAATTAAATAAACAGCCCCTACACACATACGTAATGAGTCCTTACTGTCTCTGGAAGCAGAAGAGGGAGGTGGAAACGGCCAGCTCTTGACGTCCACCTGTGGTTGCACACCGTGACCCACATACATAGGCCAGCATTCTGCCCCCTCAAATTCCATATGGGTTATTTTTAAAAATATATATATATTTTATTGATTTTTTACAGAGAGGAAGGGAGAGGGATAGAGAGCTAGAAACATCGATGAGAGAGAAACATCGACCAGCTGCCTCTTACACACCCCCTACCAGGGATGTGCCCACAACCAATGTACATGCCCTTGACCTGAATCGAACCTGGGACTTTTCACTCCACAGACCGACGCTCTACCACTGAGCCAAACCGGTTTCGGCCCAAATGAGTTTTTAAAGGACAAAGTCTCGATTCGAAGCGGGGCCAAAGTTCAAAACTTCCAGAAGAGTGTGCTGATGTGATAGATGGCAAGAAGCACCCCAGGGATTCCTGTCTGGTCAACCTGTGGATACAGGGACACTGGGAAGGTTTTCATCCCATCCTTTTTGCAAATGCTCCTTAGATTAGGAAGATCGGCCAAAGCAAAGCAGAACAGTTGTTTTAAGGCAGCAGAGAATGGGACAGTTTGAATTAATTTTTTACCCTGGTGCAGAGAGAATGACAATGAAAGCTGTTTTGCTTTTCCTTTTTGTGTAAGACTTTTCACCTTTTTCATTCTAACCAGGGGACGATGCTCAGTTTGAGATGGACATCTAACTGTCCTGCGAGGATCCGAAGAACAGCAGCAACGCTGATACCTGTGTGTATCCCCGGTTTGGCCAATAGGATCAACAATGAAAACACAGAAGCAGTACCAGCAGTCCCCATTGCAGCGCCCCCTCCTCTTCCTCCGGGTGCCAAATGATGGGAAGATGAGCTTCATCTGACTATTTCCTCTTCCTGTTTCCTGTCTCCCTTCCCGCTTAGATTAGATTGAAGGCCCATGGCATATTTCTGTAGAACTAAGCAGCCCACAAAGGAAAACAGTTGTATTCTGGCTTCCTTAAGTCATTTTTGTATTGAGACACACCCCCCCCCCTCCTTCCAATTAAAAAAAAATATCCCAAATCAGATATCAACCTACCAACAATTGCCGGCTTCCAGAAACGTCTGGGGAAGTGTTTCAGAAATTTGGTGGGTTCAGCATTGTTCATGTTCTTATCTTGTGTCTCCTCCCTGTCTTCCACCCATGGTTCAGTGCTACCAGAGTCTCGTTTGGGGTCTTCAAAACCAGAGGGAAATAAACAAGAAAAGAGCTGTTTTCTCTCTTGTCCCTGAAGGTGTTTGTCCCTGGGGCCAGCACAGGTTGTACAGCTCTGGTAGCACTACCTGTGACACTGTTCTGAGGTCTGCTTCCCCTCCATCCTCTGGGAGGAATGCCTTCTGTCTTTGATATAATAGTTTATCTTTCCATTCCTGTACTTAGCACGTGTGTGCAAACATTTTAAAATTCTACGTGAGAGGGGGCGTCAGTAACCAGCTGTTCTTTCCTCCTCTTCTATTCCTCCCGGCTTGCATCATGTTGCTGCAGTCCTATTCTCTGAGCATCCCAATGACTTCGGAGATGGAGCACTTTGAACAAGGCCTGATCATAGTACTTAAGCATGATTTTGGAAGAGCCTAGGCCCATGTGTGTAAACTAGTCTCAGTTGTCATTGTTTTTTAATCCAATGAGCATTGTAATATTACTGCAGACTGCAGTTTTTTTATGTTTTTAGTTTAAAGATGACTTCCAGAATGCCCTTCGAAAAACTCAATGCTTTTCCTTTGTGGACCTGCTTTGTTTGGCTGCTGAGATAGATAAGCATGGGCTTCAAAATGTGTTCCCGTTTTCTTTCTCTTTGTACTCTGAATTCCCTCCCCCCCTTCCTTTTTCTCTGCCAGGCCATGTTTCAAATATACATCAAAGATACCTCAAGTGTTGGTATCTGATAATATCTGTCACTCATCTGAGGAGTGACCTTTTATTTTTTAAGATAACTACAGACCTATTTTTAGATATGTTTTCAGTAAATTCTGAACAGCAACTTTTTAATCACATCTTCCAGTGTTAGGAAGGTGAGAAATGTCTGTAGGCGAGTCTGCTGTTCCATGTCACCATCCTTTGTCTCCTGCATCCCTATGAGCTCTTTCCTTTCTCCTCCTAGTTTTGGGTGTGCATGCTTGGCGTTTGTAGTGGGTGGGTGGTAAAGCTGGACCATTCTGCCTTGTGGGTTGTTCATAAAAGCCTCCTTCTTTTCCCTTACCCTTTGCTCTGTCATTCCCCCTGCTCCCTAGCCACCCCCCCTGACTATTGACTGGCACAGTGATCCCAGGAGAGTGACTCAGTCCCTCTTAGAAAGACTAATGCCTCTGTCCCCTCACAGAAAGACAAGTCGCCTCTGATGTCCTGGGAATTTCTGGTTGGGTTTGGTGCCCTGAATCATCTATTGAGATTACAACCCAGGGTGAGAGGAACAGGCCAGTTGGCTAAGAAAGAAAGCTGTTTGTTTTTCTTTTGAACTATGAAAAGCCCCTGTGTGCAAATACATCTTAGACAAAAGAGGGAGGATGTCTGAGGAACTTTGTTCTGTTTTCTGCTATAAAATGTGAATAGTTCAAAAAGTAAAACCTTTTTGTGATGGTTGATGTCTCTCAGGAATAAGCTGGACCTCCAAAATTTTGGAGATGCGTTCAGTCTCAGAAAACTGGTCATCAGAGAAGTATTGTTTGCTTGTTTACTGTATCCCTGTTCTGATTTTAATTAAACTCCAGATTTCGCTTTACATTCTCTTGGAAAATCACAAGTTACACTGTAATTTGCTTAAGAAGCTTGCTTAGGACCTCTTTGTCCCTGGAGCATGATTCTTTAGGTGTGAAGCTTTCATTCTTCACACCCTGGCCTTGGCGTCTTGTGGAATCCGACTCCAACTACAGCTGGCCGGCCTGTCAGTGAGCAGAGGAGTGTCCCCTTCCTGATCTTTATTGTTGCCCGGAAACCTCAGCTGTCTCTCCGAGCAGTGGGGATGGAATTAAGACATGCCAGCTTGAGTAGTATCGAGATAGGATTTTCCCCTTTATCTGGCAACGTGGGGGAGCTCTGCTCGTGGCCCCCTAATCAGAAGCCATGTTTCAGGTATTCCTGGGAGTATCTGCTCTATAGTATTAATACAACTGCGGCCCAGTCCCTTAGCCGCCTCTGCAAGGACTTCCTCACTGTTTGGTGAGCTTCTTTCCTGGAGTCCACCGCCACTAGAAGTACTCTGACTTCACTCATTGATATTTTAAAGATCATTTCACAAGGCCGCAGATAAAATTCCAACAGATGATGCCTTTGTGCTAAGCCTCGGAATCGTTTTTTAGGGCAAGCCAGAATCCAATAGGTGGTTTACTTCTGGATGTTTGAAAGGAAACCCAGAGATAAATCCCTGAATGAACTATCCTGACTTTTCTTTGGGGAGGGAACACCCTTAGGGTACCATTTGAGTGAAACGGTTCTTAAAATCTTAGTGATCGTATGTATTTTTCTTTTAAGAGAAAGCCGTCTTCTGTATTTCTGAAGACAGTCTTATCTTAATGACAGATGACCTTTCTCCTAATTCCTGCGGGAGACGTGCATCCTCATGGCTCTCCGTTCTTTTATAGAGTGGTTTCTTTAGCTCGCCACTTCCTCATTCTGTTTAAATACTTAACCGCCTTCTCTGGAGCACAGACTAGAGAAACTGGCTCCTGGGTATTAGGCTTCCCAGCCAGGCGTTCTGTCCTTCCATTTCTCTGATCTGTTGCTGTGTAACTCCCCCCAAACTCGAAATCTTAAAAAAGCAAACATCTGTCAGTTTTTATAGGTTAGGAATTTGGAAACAGCTCAGCACCATGGATCTGGCACAGGGGTCTTAGAAAGTTGCAGTTCAAGATGTTGGCAGGATCTGCAGTCATTGGGGGCTGGAGAATCTTTTCCTGAGCTCGCTCGCTCTCTGTGGTTGTTGGCAGGGTGCCACATGTGAGTCTCTGTGTAGAATTTTGTGAGCGTCCACACACCATGGCGGCTGGCTTCCCCGAGTGAGTGATGGGGGGGAAGAGGGGACCGGGAGGAATTTGCAGTGCCTTTTATGACTGTCTGAAAGCACACACCTTCACTTCTTATTCTGTTCCTTAGAAACAAGCCACTAAGCCCAGCCTGCACTCCAGGGGAGAATTAGACGCCTCCCTACTGTTCAGAGCAGTATCAAAGAATTTGTGGGTATATCTTTAAATCACCTCACCCCTAACAGGATGAAACTAGGCCAAGGGGTGTGGGGTTAGGTTTGAACTAGATGATATGTTGAGAGATGTTGCTACTGAAAACAGTTTTCTGAGATGTGTTATCACCAAACTGGGATAGAAGACAGACAATTTCCTGAAAGCTACCTGCTAGTTTTGAGAGAGGCGGCAGGAAATGGTAGCTCCCAGGAGAGCATAATCCGTATACACTTGCCTGGCTAACTGTAGCCCAAAGATGCTACTTTGCAAGTCCTGTGCTTGGTGTCCCTAAAATTCAATACCATTTGCCTGCTATCCCCCCTAGCCAGGAATTGACAAAGGGAATTAACTGGGCCTGTGTAGCTGATTCACTAAAGCTGACAATCAGAGTTAGGGTTTCTAGCAAAGAGAGCAAATTCGAAGTAATTGTTGGATTGCTGAGCTGAAGAACAGTAATGTAAGAACTCATCTTGTATGGATTTACACTCTGCCTCTCACCAGCATTTTCTTATCTGTAGCCCGGCTTGCTTTAGAGTTCAGATTCAGGGTGAAATAGATGATGGCATCTGAACCAGGCCCACTTGGTCTCCAGCTGCACGGGCTGAAACACCTGGGTCGTGTCACCCAAGGAGCTCCTTGTCAAAGTAGGGAACATCTGGGAATTAGAAATGTCTGTGCTTGATTGTCCTTTAGCTCAGTATTACAGGTTAACTCGTGTGCCCACTTAGTCCTGGGCCTCTTGACGGAAGTGGTTTTTTAAAGAGAACCAGTCTTGTCTCCACTCTTGTGACTAACTTGGGTGAGGTTTGTCAGTTCAGCGCATTCTTAGTGTCTGCTATGTGTTTGTGGCACTCATGCCTGACCAAGGTTTTAGAGGTTTCAGACATCTCGAAGATGCATATTCTCATACGGATATGCACTCTGCCTCATAGCAACATTTTCTTATCTGCAGCCCTGCTTGCTTCAGTGTAGACTTGAAGAAAAGCGTTGCTACTGAGACAGCTATTAGAAACAGCTATTTCTTCCCAAAGTAAGGAACTCGTCTTTAACGCGCCTTCAAATTAATTATGCTTTTCCTTCTGATTTTAAGGTGGAGTCAACCTAGACGGTGTTTTATTTACCTGCTCTTTGTGACTCTCAGGACTTACCTTCCCAGTTCAAACATTTCCGTTAGAATACAGCCCACTACATTTGAGTGGGTTTCATCCCCAGAGTCCATCATTCGCCAGGATGTATTGAGCATATGCTTTGAATTAGGGCCCCTGGTGCAAGGGTCTCATCATCTTGGCAGTGATATCCCAGAAACTGAACCTTTTTCTATTCTCGGTCTTGGCTCCTCGATGGGATATCAAGCATCTCAGCTGCTGAGCCAGGGCCCTCAGCCCTTTGTATATCTCTTTAAAGAGGAAGCCCAATGCCTTTATTTGGGTCAGAATTTTCCCTTCTTGGCATGTCTCTGGACTACATGCATATCGGCAGCTATTGATAAATCTGCGAAACTCAATCACTCACCTGTGACCTCTGGGAGGGAGTAGTGTTTGTTTTAAAAAGGCACTGTTTCTTTGGGAGGGCAGTTTCTGTCTGGACTAGAAAGGGGGGCAGTTATCTCACATACTCCCCCCTCTCCCCCCCTGCCCCAAAGTTCTTTACCTTTCAGCTTTTGATAAAAGATGAAAACAGGTTTGGAGGCAATTCTCTAGGATGCTTATATCCCAGGGGCATTTCCTGTTCTAGTAATCATTTTCCGGTTGAGTATTGGCATTTCCTTTGAGGCAAGCTCATAAAATTTTTTTACTGAAGACTAAGGATGATTGGTACATCCCTATTTTTTCAAACAATCATTCATGCCACTTTTCTTAGCTTCTGGAATGTGCATCTTTTTTTGTGCTGGTTCTGGAAGTTGATAGCTTTTGGGAAAGCTTAGATTTAGGAGGACTTTCAATGTCTTGTTCACATGGTCTGTGGTTTCTCTTTGCCTAACCTCTGCCTGAAGCCCCGGCAGACCATACTGTAGATGCTGATGGAAAATATTATGAAGATAAAAATACATTTTGGGGAGTATTTAAACTCTTTAACTCTGCCACCTTTCTATGAGTGGGAGGCCGGCTGAGAGATGCTGCAATGCTTGATAATCATTTAGCCGTGCTGAAATTTGCAAAGGGAACTCTTGTTGGTGCTTAAAACCAGAATTCCTGGACACTTCAAACTTGGAGAATTCCATGAATCTAGCACAGAATAGCCATACTTGCTCATTGCCATACCTTTCTCTCCATCTTAATCTTTAAAAAGAAAAAAGAAAAAGGCAAAGCCCCAGCCAAGGGTAATTTTTACTTGAAACCAGGAGAGGGGGAGGAACACTGTAGAAGTAAGGGGCGCGTTGTCCGCGTGAGCCATCCTGAGTCCTAATCACTGAGTACTGTGAGCCAGTGCCTTTCCTTCACCTGCAGATGGAGCCCGTCTCTCTCCGCCTCGGTGAGGAGACCCTGTGCTACCCAGGGTAAACCTTAGAGACGGCTTAGAGCCCGGTGGACACTCCGTATTCGGTGTCCATTCGAAGCATCCTTAACGTATTTTAGACATTAAAAAACGCCCTGTCCTGTCTTAGCGACACGAGTGGCCCAATTCCATCCATTCTGAATGGAAAAGCAGAGACTGCCAGTTCTTCCTTTGATCTTCCCTTCATCCGCCTTGATGTGGCTGACCCTGACCCCTCGTCCATTTCACTGTCATGGATGGATAGCAGAGGGCACCATGTAGTCCTGAGGCAGTCCTGTGTGATTCTGTGATCAGTTGTTTTGGGTTTGGGTTTTGGGGTTTTTTTTTTTGTTTTGTTTTGTTTTGTCTGTCCTTTCACACCAGCAGGGTGTTTGGAAATTAGTGAGAAGAAAAAAAATTCTCACCAATGGTTGCTGTTACAGTTAAATCAATAAAGATCTTGGATATCAACTTGGTGTTCTACTTAATTTTTTAAATTTTCAGGTGAAATCCTGGGAGTCTTGGCTGATGAGGGAGATGGGCAATGGCAGTTGGCCATGTCACGTCTCCGTTCTTCTCCCACGTAGGGGGCGCTGACTGTCTATCTGGCCCTGTCTGCAAGGCAGCGATGCGCCCCTTCCTGCAGCGCTTGGAGGCGAAGGGATATGTGCTGGGGCCGATGTACAAGGAAACGAGGTGCCAACCTTGAGGAAGCCCAAACAGCTCTGCTCAAGAGGGCTGCCTCTGCCTCAGCACGTGTTAGGAATCCATCATATCTGGTGTCTTAAAATAGACCAGGCTGTGCTGCATAGCATTGGATTCCTTGCTATTATTAATCCAGTGAGGCTCACACATTAGTATTGAGAACAAGTATCCTCTCATGCTTCAGATGCAGTGAAGTCCGCAGGATAAAATGACTTGAGGTGTGTTCCCGTCAGAACAGCCTAGATCAGCGGTCGCCAGCCAGTGGCCCGCAGACCGCTGGTGGTCCGTGAGGCCTGAAAGGTTAGAGGGTTCGCTCAGGCTGTGGAGCCAGAGGCCAGATTCCAGCTCTGCTGCATAGTAGCCGCATTCCTGCCAACAGGGAGTCTGGGCCCTGGTTTCCTTCTCTAATGTAGGGTTCTGGTCATCTTTCCTAGGTGGTTGTGAGGCTCAAGTAAGGTGGGAAAGGAAGCACTAGCCCAGTGCCTTGTACATCGTGGTCAGTAAAGCACTCAAGCACAGCTCAGTTGGCCTGGCACCAGAGCTCAGTCGGCTCCCGAGTAAGCAAATTTGGGAGGGGCCAGGCCTGAAGACTCTGTAAGGGCCAAATAATTGTGAAGGTACTCTCATACATACCTGACTCTGCCCCAAAGGCAAGTAGGATATGAACCTCAAAGGCAACTCTGGGTATAGGGGTAAGGGTTTTGCTGCTAATAAAAGAGGCTTTAGAAGACGGGAGATGAACTCCTGACTATGGTGCTATGCGAAACACGTCTGTGTTTCTGCTTCTCTCTGTCCTTTCTCCACCCTTACTGGCAACTTCCCCAGCCAAGGAGAACAGTGCACCTGATTTTCCCCACTCACCTACTGACTTGGCACTGCTCTAGAAACAGAAGTAGGCCTTTGCCTTGAGAGCGAGGTAAGGTACCTCTGTTCTATAAAAGCCCCTTCCTGCCCCCCAGGTTAGGACAGGACTCCGTTATCAAGAGGTAGTATGTCCTTCAACTTACAAAGTGTTCACCAGCACACAGGGTCAACCATGGAGCTGTGTAGCTAGGCTTGGCCCTTAAATACCTCTGGCGAGACAGCAGGATATCCCTGCTGCTGACACCAAACCGAGTTTTCAGCAGGGGTCAGAAGAAGGTAGCTCCACTCGTTTGTGCCTGCATCTTCTGCTTACCATGAGGCAATGCCTTGTCCTCTGTGAGGTTCGGTCTCTGAGTTAGAGCTGCAAAGGAGACTCGCCCACAAGCCATAGCCACAAAATAGTGTGACCTGCTCTCTTGGCCCCCGCCATGGAACTATTGGGCACCTACTTAGTAAAGATGCTCTCAAGTTCCTGGATGGGATTATCTCCCCCAAGAAGTTCAGTTTGGTAGTGGAAGGAGAGTTCTGGTTCCAAAGCTAGGGCGGCAAAGACCTCTGCTATTAAGGACAGTGCCCCCGGGGCTCGAGACCAAAGCTCGGGTCTGGGTCCTGCCACTCCTAACTGTGTGGTCAGGCCACTAGGTCTCCCTGGGGTCTCATTTAGGAAAGAGAATGGGACAAAAACTGACCTCACAAGGCCCTTCCAGGAATCAGATGCAGAATCCCATTGTGATCGGAATTATGGGCAGGGCAGGTCTGTTCCCACTCCAGGAAATGAGCCGCTGAGTCAGGGCATTGAGGTTTCTCAGGCCCAGGCCTGGCTCTAGCCTAACCAACCCTGCCTGAGCCAGGATTACTATCCTAACTCAACCAAGGCTACATGTCTGAACTCAGCAAGGGTCCTCACGTGATTGGGATCACTTCCCAAAGATGGCTTCTTGGTGAGGCAGGTGCACTCACATTCCCAACAAAAGGGCCCCTTGCCCTGCCAAACAAAGAAATATATAGCTCATCCTAGCCAGTTTGGCTCAGTGGGTAGAACATCCGCTCTTGGACTGAAGGGCTGTGGGTTCAATTCCCGTTCAAGGGCACGTACCTCAGTTGTAGGCTGGATCCCATCCCAAGGTGCATAACGGAGGGAACCGATAGATGTGTCTCTCGCATTGATGTTTCTCTCTGTCTCTCCCCCCTCCTTCTCTAAAAAACCAATGGAAACATGTCCCAGGTTGAGGAATAACAAATATATATAAAAATTTATTTCCCCCATTTTGGCAGTGCTGATAAGAGAAATTGCTGCCTTTGGGGTCTTTTCATCCAGAAGGCAAAAAGACCTGTGTTTGGTGGGAGAGCTCCCTACAAGAAAGCTATGTTCCTTTCGCTGTGCTGCTGTGAGAAACCTGGAATTAAGGCAATCTTAGAACCCTGGGCAGCAAAAGCTGATAAAGGATAGATAACGGGATGGCAGGGCCTGGCTTAGCAGGCTTTGTAGGGAGATGGGATAAAGCCTAACTTACAGCTCGTGGCTCTTCTGAGCCTCCCAACAGACATTTCACAGGAATGCATTTAGGATCCACCTGCTTTCCTGTCACAGGATAAGGCTGGTAGTGAATTACTCACGTGAGGGACAAGGGCCACACAGCTTCTCAGCAGCTGAGCTGTGATCATAACCCAAATCTGCAGAGCATTCACCCCTATGGACAGGAAGTTCAGGGCCTCATCAATAGCACGCATTGAGAGACGGAGGTGAACTGTCACCAGCTTTAATAGACTCGGGGGGGGGGGGGGAGATGGGAGGGGGTCTGAGGGCCCATCTGCTGTAGTCCAAAGTGGCCAGCTCTCTGGGACGAGTCCTGCCTCTCCCTCCAAAGGCACCAACGGGCCTAGAAGGACTCTGCAGTGGCTTTATGACTGTACAGCTCATTAGCAGAGATCCACTTCAGGAAGCCTGGACGAGGCCAACAGATTGCTACTGGCCAGCCAGAAAGATGTGGGCCCCTCGCCCAGCCTGAGGCAACCGGAGCCAACGGACTTTTTTTTTTTTTTTTTCCCAACGGACTTTTTAAAATTTAACTCAGGGATGCTTCATCTTGGGGGTGGGGGTGGCAGAGACCACTTTCAAGAATACATAAAAGGCACAGACAACCTTGTCCCCACCTCAGAAATGCATATATGCCGCCCCAACGTTTACATACAATTTCCTGGAGGGCACAGGTTTAAAAAGGCAGGTCAGGTCTCTTCATTAGTGCTTCCGCTCGCCACTGTCTGTCCAGCAAAGAGAAAACCTAGCAAGGCTGCCTCCCAGGCTCCCCCTCTCGCTCCTGATGGCCTCTGTGTAGCCAGACTCGAGGGCCTACGTTTGCAGTGTGGACAGCCTCCTCCTCATGCCTGGTGGACAGGGCAGCCTTCCCATTACTTCTTCGCGTTGGATCGGATGGTCGTGTCTTCCAGGAGCCCCCCAGCCTTCGGGGGAACGGGCAAAACCAGCGCCCCTCCAGGACCTCAGAGGCACCCACATTCTTCCACAATCATGTCTTTATGATGCTCCAGAAGGACTCTGCCGTTGTCCACATACAGCATGCTCAACGGCCTGGTCTTCACGGGGGCACAGCAGGTGGAAGGGACGCGGTGGGGCTGGTACCGCTTCAGCAGACTCTGAAAAGGGAGGAGAGGGGTTAGTTCGACACTCAGGTCAGAACAGGCCATTTCTGGATAAAGTGTGAAGAAGATACCGAGAGTCTAGATCAGTGACTGGGTGCAAAAAACAGAAAATTGTTTTTCGTAGAGGAATCGGCATGCCAATACCTCATCCACGCTAACTTCTAAAATCGCTTCTGCACCGAAACCGGTTTGGCTCAGCTGTAGAGCGTTGGTCTGCGAACTGAAGGGTCCCAGGTTCGATTCCGGTCAGGGGCATGTACATTGGTTGCGGGCACATCCCCGGTGGAGGGTGTGCAGGAGGCAGCTGGTCAATGTTTCTCTCTCATCGTCGTTTCTAGTTCTCTATCTCTCTCCCTTCCTCTCTGTAAAAAAATCAATAAAATATATTAAAAAAATAATAAAATCACTTCTGCTTTTTTAAAGCATCTTTCAAAGAGTAGATTCTAAAAGCTGTATCTGGGTAGAACAGTAGTTAACTTATATGCTCTCCTATTATTATAGTCTAGAGTGAATACCAGTTTATAAAATATTCCAAGAAACTCCTGGTGTAGTTCCAAGAATATGAGGCAGAAGAGAGTCATGTGGAAATTCTTGTGGGACTTGTGTTGCCCGGAGAAGGGCAAGCAGAGTCCATGGGAGGAAAGGTAACTGCCCCCTGGCCCTGTGGCCCAGCAACATCCTCTCAGGTCAGAGTTGGCAACTGGGAAAACCTGGGTCTCTGTGGCTCCCTCTGGCCTCGCTGCAGGTGGGTTGGTGGAGTGAAGTGGGGCCTGAGAGAGGTTTGTGAGGGCCTCTGCCAGGGATAGGTCCTCTGGGCTGGCCCCCACCAGTACCTCCCTTGCACAAGCTCAGCTCACATGCTCCCCAGCGCCTCTGAACCCTGCCTGAGGGTTGGCATGGAGGATGCCCTCTAGGGCAGCGGTTGCCGACCGGTGGTTTGAGGTGCAAAAGATTGGCCACCGCTGCTCTAGGGCAAGAGATTCTCAGTCTAGCTTCTTGGAGTAAATAGAAACACGCTATGACCTGTGAGAGCAGGGAAGGGCTACCTAAATGTCAGGGTCGTTATATTAGCCTCTATTCTTTTTTAAAGTCCTCACTTGATGTAGAGAGAGGTGAAGTGGCCCTGACGGAGGACGGAACCCAAAACCTGGGTATGTGCCTTGACTGGAAATTGAACCCACAGCCTTTTGGTGTATGGGGCCACACTCCAACCAGTTGAGCCACCCAGCCAAGAATAGCCTCTGTTCTCTACTCTCTCCAGCTCATTCTCTTGCCACTCCTCTCCCTCCAACACCTTCTAGAACTTGGGCTGATTAATGACACTGGTGGTAGGTAGTCTATGGCCTTATCTAACTTCTGCCAGATGGGTACCCAATTCCTATTTTAGGCAGCAAAACTACAGTGGCTGGGGGAGATAGGAGATCAACCGAAGGACTTGTATGCATGCATATAAGCAAAAGCAATGGAGGAAAAACTCGGGGGAGGGGGGCGTGTATGGGCGTGGAGGGGGGGCAATGAAAAGATATGTACACATATAATACCTTAATATATATATATATATATGTATATATATATATACACACACACATATATACAGTGGCTGGGATATTATTATCTCAATCATGGCCCCACCAATGTGGCCCCCATTTCATCAGTGAATCACAGACTTCTAGTAATGATAACAGAACATCTATCAACTACTATACATGCAGTATACATATCATCTCATTTAACACTATAACACTCTATAAAATATCCCCATTTTACATGAGACTCAGAGAGAGAAAGCAACTTGATCAACATTACACGGCTAATAAGTAGGGATCAAACCCAGGCCTCTCTATCCCCAAACCCCAGATGCTGAACTTCCTTTCCTAGACTGTCAGGGTTGGGGAGGAGTTGAAACCCTCTAGTGTGTACCCTCCACCCCTAATTTTATGAAAGACAAGGGAAAGGTCCTAGGAAAGCGATGTGTACAAGACTCCAGGGGGCGTGACCCCATCCACGTAGGCTTTCTGAGGATGCTGAGGTTGGTCCTCTCCATATCCTTAGACCTAGCACACGGCAGGTGCTTGCATAACTGTGCAGGGGTGAATGAACAGCCATTTAATCGCAGAGTTGGAGTCTTCCCCCCGGATCTGGCGGTACAGCCACTTCCCCACAGACTGCCCGCCCTCCTCCCCCCAGGCGCTGGCGTCGCACCTGGATGTACGCGTGGTTGGTGGGGTGGAACTCCTCGCCCACAGGGTTAGGGCACTCGCCCTCGCAGCGATAGGCGTTGTACTGCTTGGGGTAGATGATCCAGGCGCCCCAGCCGATCAGGTTGAAGTCCACCTGGAACTTGACCCTCCGACACAGTTGGCTTCTGTCCGGCAAGTGATGTCTCGGGTGCCTCCTGCCCTTTTCCTGGAAGAGCTGTCCCTCCTGGGCCCGCCAGGAGCTCTCGGCTTCCCACAGCAAGGTGGCGCCACCCAGCCTCCTCTGCTCCGGAGGGAGGTTGGAGTAGAGCAGGAGGAGCACGTTGGAGGCAGGTGGTGTGGGAGGCCGCGGCCAGCATCCTCTGGCCAATTTGGGCTTCTGCTCCCCCAGCTTCCCAGGGTGCTTCAGCCACTTGGAGAGTGGCCTGGTCACCTCCAGGACCATGCTGCCAGAGGAAAAGGTAACCTGGGACAGAGAAACAGTGAACAGTTCCATCCGAAGACGCTCAGGGCAGCCGGCCGGGTCCCGATCCGCCTCCAGCTTCGGCTGGTGGAAGATCTCGATGGAGAGTGGGACGCCCGGGGAGAGGCCCAGGGGGCTGGCCAGCTGCAGCCGGAGCTCAGCCCACTCCAGGTCCTCCTTTTGGCTCAGGAAGGAGAAGTCAAAAGCAAAGGTCCAGTTCTGCCCATCCACCTCCACATCTGAGTGGGGAGAAACAGGAAGGAGGCGGCGTCAGTGGGGACCTCCCGCAGTCTCCATCAGTGTAACCACCGTAGCTCATGTCTAAGCTCTCACCTCAGACGAATCACTTCTCTTACTCCTCACCTTGACCCCGGGAGATGGGCATGTGATTGAACCCGTTTTAGAGACGAGGAAAATTGAGACTCGAAGAAGTTAAATTGCCTGCCCAAGGTGTCATTCTAGGAAAGTGGCAGAGCCAAGAATAAACTTGGGTTTGCCTACCTGAAAAGCCCAAACTCCAAGTCGCTATTCTCCCACTCCCCTTCAAGGCACTCCAAAGCCAGAGAACAAATGGTAAAAATTGGACGAGTTAGTTTCCGTTCCCCTCTACACACACACACACACACACACACACACACCCTAAGGCTGAGCTTTAGATCTAAACCCTGAGCTTTCTGACCTAAACCCTGGGCTTCCAACTCACCCAGTGACCCTGGAGCAATTCACTCGCCAGGCCTCATTTTTTCTCTGGGAAGGGCGGCCTGTCGCACAGGCTCCATGAGGTGGGTATGCAGATCACGGAAAGGCTCGGAGCCCTTGAGGAGGCCCAGGCAACAGAAACCAAGGACTGGCTGCCTTCTTCCTGGCCAGTTTCTCAAGATGGAGGCAGAAACTTCAGGAAGTGTTGGCCACCTTACAAATAGGCTTCTCAAGGCATGCTAAGCTTGACTTTGTGCTGACCTTGCACTTTCCACCCAGCGGTTTCTCCTCTCTACCTGCAGGGCGCTCACTCTCTCCTGCCCCAGTTCACCCACAAGCCCAGGGCAGACACGCCAGCACAGGCAGCCCTATCCCACCCACCCACCCACCCACCACAACTAAGCCCGAAGCGGATGAAAAGGAACGGGAAGCACATTCCATTTATTTTAGTCCTGAACTAATTTGGTCTGATGTCTCGGATGGCATGGGTTTATAAATGTTCAGGCCCCAAAAAGTGACTTTTAACTTTTTTCAGCCCAGTTTCTTCTTTGCAATAGGAATGCCTTACCCACCTCTGCATTATCAGATCCAGGAAAATTCAGACATTTGAGGGTTTATTGCTAAATAAAAGACAAGGGTTATTCATAGAAATAAAAACCCTTTTGTGCATAGATCTGGGAGGTAGTGATGATCTGATTGAGGTCCTTCTGGGCAGACCACGTAACAGTTTATTTATTTATTTATTTATTAGTATAAATTTATTGATTTCAGAGAGGGAGAAAGAGCTAGAAACATCAATGATGAGAGAGAATCATTAATCAGCTGCTTCCTGCACACCCCCAACTGGGGATTGGCCCGAAACTCAGGTATGTGCCCTTGACCAGAACTGAACCAGTGACCCTTTAGTCCACAGGCCAATACTCTATCCACTGAGCCAAACCAGCTAGGGCAGTGGTCGGCAAACTCATTAGTCAACAGAGCCAAATATCAACAGTACAACAATTGAAATTTCTTTTGAGAGCCAGATTTTTTAAACTTCTTCTAACACCACTTCTTCAAAATAGACTCGCTCAGGCCACGGTATTTTGTGGAAGAGCCACACCCAAGGGGCCAGAGAGCCGCATGTGGCTCTCGAGCCGCAGTTTGCCGACCCCTGAGCTAGGGCAACAGTTTATTCTATTTATTTTATTGTCTCACAGAGTATGTTGTGTCAGACAGTAAGTGAATTTCTCTGAGAAATCCAGCCTGCATTAGAAGGGACAATTCCAAGGCTCACCCTCATGGAGCTTTCCCAGCCCACCCTAGTGGCTCCGTTTCACTTTATTCCCACTTCCCTCCTCATTAGCACCTGCAGGGGGCAATAACCGGCCCTTGACTAGCAACTCTCCTCAGAGGTGTGGGGAGGAGGCTGGCATTACCCGCTGCCCATTGGGGCACCGCCTGGCCACCTGGGGACCAGGCCGGGCATGTAGCAACTCCAGGCCACAAGCACCAGGAGTTAACTATCACCTCAAGTATTTACAAATGGCCTTTTGCGGGAAGGCATTCCAGCTCAGAGGGTAGGAGGAGGGGCCCTGATTTCTCCAGCGATGGTTCAAATCCTGCCATTTGCTGTTTAACATTGGGCAGGTTGTTATTATTTGAGGCCTTCTCCGGGCTTCAGTTTCCCCTCTTTGTAAAAGGGAAGTGGTGACAGCATCCACTGGGATGTTGAGAATACTGAGTCAATGTCAAGTCTTTATCTAGCACAACCACCCAAGTGCAATATAGACAGACACTGGCTGTCATCAACCGCCTTTGCCCAGGTCCACAGTTAAAATGAAGGTGGAGAGGTCGTCTGTCACCGGGATGGGCGGTGTGTACGGAGGGAGGGCGGGAAATGACTCCTTCCTGCAGGAGAACCTTGAGACTCCTCAACCCCACCGCCAGCCAAGGGCTCCCTGGGACACAGTGCTGGAAGGTTCATCTTAGAATAGGAGTGCCTACTCTTTTGGGAGTCGTGGATGCCTGATGAAAGCTAAGAATGTGCCCTGGCCGGTTTGGCTCAGTGGATAGAGTGCGGCCTGTTCGCTGAAGGGTTTGATGGCAGCCGAGGGCATGCACCTCGGTTGCAGGCTCGATCCCGGCCCTGGTTGGGGCGCATGTGGAGTAACCAATCGATGTGTTTCTCTCACATTGGTGCTCCACTCTCTCTAAAAACCAGGAGGAAAATATCCTGGGGTGGCAATTAACAATAAACAATACACAAATAAGCAAATAAAATGTAAAGAAAAAAGGTAAGGATGCTTTTCTCAGAAAAAACCCCACAAAACTATATCTCCCGCTTATGTAATAAAAGTGATTTGGGCTGCCCTCATGCCAAGTGTTTTATAATCACGGGCTCCTTTAAACCAGGGACACACAGATGTAAAGCCTATTTGGTAAGAAGACTCCAACCCACACCCATGTCAGCCCTCCTGGTGCAGCTGACAAACAAACCCAGGAAAAAAAAAAAGGGGGGGTTTAGGGCAATCCCTCCTCCTCAGGCTCTCTCCAGCCAGGCGGTTCTCACAGCTTTAAAAAATGAAGCGATTCACAGCAATGGGCATGTACTTAATGCCACTGTGCACTTAAAAGCAGGCAAAATGGCCCGTTTTTGTTATGTATATTTCACCACACACACACAAATGAGGCGGAAAGAAAGCCAGCTCCCCACTTTGCAAAAGAGGAAACTGGAGAAATCAAGTCAAGTGCCAGGGACACCTTGGGAATCAGGAGGCGGGGTTTGAGGGGCAACGACTCAGTTCTCCTGACTCCACCGAGTCTAACAAGCTCCCCAACTTCGGGAAAAGGGGACCTGAAAAGTGCGACCCGCCCCCCCCCCCCCCCAAACCCCGCAGTGTCCGGGCGGAGGGGCCGAGCACTCGGTACCTTTCAAATTGTCCTGCCCCCCGGGTGTCCCTTGTCTGGCTGGTCCCCAGATGACCCTCCCGGAGAGGGTCACCAGCTGTCTGACCCGAGACTGGGCAGGCCCGGGACCGCAGGAGGCCAGCGGGGGGCCGGGCAGATCAGATTGTCGGATGTGGATTTCGCCGCGGCCCCGGGAGGGCCGTCTAGCCCCGGCCGGCGGCGGGAGGGCCGGCGGCGGGGGGCGCGGGGCGGCGGGAGTCCCCGCACACCCCGGGCGCCAGGATGTGGATTGCGCGGGGAGAGGGGACCCCGCGGGAAGGGACACCGAGGGAAGGGCTCTCTGTGTTCAACCCCCCCTCCCCCCCCGCCCCGCAGCCCCAGTGCACCCCGAACGGTCCTGGAGGGAGAAGCCCCCAGGTCACCACGGCCATCACCGCCCTCCCTCCCCTCCCCGTGCCCCCTCCAAATCTACGCTCTGAACCCGTGGTACCGGGGATACGGACACCTCCCAGCCTGGCCTGGAGTACCCAACCCGGCCTCGCTTCTCGACTTGGGGGGTCCCACCTCTACCCCCACACCTCTGGGTCCTAATGCCGAAGGCTACGTTTTGGAGACCCTGCCTCCATCCGGAGACTCCCAACGCCGCAACGGTACCCATCAGCCTCGCTCTCCAAACCAAAAAAGTTGGACAAAATCATTGCAGCAAAACGAAGGCCCATTGATGGCTATTCCTGGTTCTGTGCTCAGCGGGGTTTGGTGCTTTGTCATCCAGCCTTGTCTCACCCCGCCCTGGTCAGGGCAATATCCATTCCCCTGCGACAGGTGCGCAAACGGGGGCGCAAAACAGACGGGAAGTGGCGCCATCGGGTTCCCACTTAGGGTGCCGCGCTAGACCCACAGAAACCAAGACCCGGGACCCACACAAACCAAGACCCGGGACCCACATAAACCAAGACCCGGGACTCAGCGGTCTCTGTGGGGGACCCGCCCCGAGCGCCACAATCCCGCCACCCGCCAGCCCTGCGCCCCAGCCCCAAGTCGTCGAGAAACCCCCAGATCCACGACTCGGGGAGTCCCCACCCCCGGCACCCTCGGCTCCACCCCGCTCTCCTCCCGGGAGGCGGGCGGCCTACCTTGCGCCTGCAGGCTGCGGATGATGTCCGCCTGCGGCGGGTCGCGGTACAGGCTCAGCATGTAGGCCAGAGGGGACGGCGACGAGGGCTGCCCCCGCGCGTGGAGGGGCACCGCGGCCCCCGAGGCGGCGCCGGCCAGGAGCAGCGCCCTCCAGACGTGCAGCAGGAGGAAGGTGGGCCGGGGGGCGTGCATGGTGGTGGGCTGGCCGGGCGGGGGAGCGGAGCCTGACCCTCCTTATATCCTGGGTCTGCCTAGCCGCCCAGCCCCGCCCTACCTCCCTGGGGGAAGCTTTAAGATCTTATACACGCCCTTCGCCCCCCACCCCCACACACCCACCCTGGGGGGTGTCCCCCAGGGAGATCCCCTACTCGGGAGGGCGGGGCCTGAGCCTGGTAGGGAGGAGGCCCACCAATCCCCCGGAGGAGCCCAAAGGTCCATGGACCATCCAGTTTGCAGGGTCTGGGCACCCTGGCGCTCTAGGTGTTATTTCCCAGACAGAGCAGATTGCGGCCTGCAAACTCCCAGGTCAGCATTGTGGCTTCGGTGCTCCATTCACCTGGGATCCCTGCCCTTTCCGGTCCCTCCAGCCTCCAGAGGTTATGTCTGGCTCAGCAAGGAGCAGGTAGGGAATGGTGGTGGAGCTGGTCCACCAGAGGATGAATGGACCACAGGGGCCTGTGATGGTCAGCCCAGCCCCGCCCAGCAGCCTTCCCGGACGCTGTCCAGATGGACTCTGGAAGCACCCCTGGCCTTATCTGGCGGGGCCCATGTGGAGGGTCAGCCTGGGGTGAACTACTGGGTCCTCAGGATTGCTGGAGCTCCAGACGAAGGCCCACAGGGTTCTGCTTCCAATATGTAAGTGCTCTCCTGAGAAAGACAGAGGGCAGGGCCACCAGTATGAAGACCGGACTTCTCCACCGGAGAAAGGAACGTGTTTCTGCTGAAGCTGGAGCCGAGCCCAGCTGCCGGGTGATCCCGGCCCCCTCAGTGCCTGTGGTGGCTTCGGGCTCTCCCCTTCACAGGCATACATCGCCGGGGCCCTCAGGAGAAAGGTGACGTCCAGGCCGGCAGCCGCTGTCTGCCCCGGCAGGTCCCTCAGGAGACCTGGGTTTTCGCTCGGCACCTCTCACTTCTGGCTCTCGGGGGCCCTGCTTTCCTCATCAGCTCAAGTGAGAGAGATCCTTGCCTGGCCTCCCTTCCAGGTGCTAAGTCAGATCCCGGCTGGAATCACCTTTAAAGAAATGTAAATCCCTGCCCTGCATCAGGTTTGAACTGCTTTCCTCCACTCAGGAGGGTCCCCCCACCCCCATGTCCTTTTCTAGCCAACCAGCACATTAGCAGTTGGTTAGCGTTTACTGAAGCGCCATGTGCCACACACACCTTGGTTTCTTTCACAGGTCGCCTCCAGCTCCCAAGAGCCACAGCTCAGCCCTGCCCAAGTGTTAGACGGTGGAAGGAGGCCCAGCAGGCTGCAGCCCTGTGTGGGGCGGACACCATCCCACCCAGCAGGAAGGGAGCTGGCCGAGGGCAGGCCTGGGTTGCAGACCTGCGCAGACCATGGGCCTGGACGATCTGCGCAGCCGGCCGGCAGCCAGCTCCTTAAGGCTGGGGCCTGGCCTGCTCGGGGTGCTCTCCCCACAGCGCGGGTCACAGAGGAAGCCAGTAAGCCTTGGCTCAGTGAAGAATCAGTGAGCGGCGCTGTGCCTGGACTTGCCTGAGGAAAAGTATCACCAGGAGTGCTTGTCACACTACTGATTCCAGAGGCCCAGTCCAGATCTCCAGAATTGTAATGTGAAGAGAGGGCTTTTTCTACATTTTAACAGGCACTCCCTTAATAATTTTTTAAAATTGATTTTAGAGAGGAAGAGGGAGGGATAGAGAGATAGAAACATCAATGATGAAAGGAGAATCTGCCGAAACCGGTTTGGCTCAGTGGTAGAGCGTCGGTCTGCGGACTGAAAGGTCCCAGGTTCGATTCCGGTCAAGGGCATGTACATTGGTTGCGGGCACATCCCCGGTAGGGGGTGTGCAAGAGGCAGCTGGTCAATGTTTCTCTCTCATCGACATTTCTAGTTCTCTATCCCTCTTTCCTTCTCTCTGTAAAAAATCAATAAAATATATTAAAAAAGAAAAAAAAGAAAGAAAGAAGAATCATGGATTGGCTGCCTCCCCCCCCCCCCCCCCCCCCAGGCCTGTGCCCTCACGGGGCATCGAACCTCCTATTTCAAAGGTCAACATCAACCATTGAGCCACACTGTCCAGGCACCTCCCCCTGATTCCTATCAGACAACTTTGAGAACCTGGGTGGGCTGGGGTTCTTCTAGTTATGGTTTGGAAACTACCTCTCCTCATATATAAAGCATAACTGGGGAATACCTCCTTTCATGGAGAGTAATTGAAACAAATCCCAAAATGAGTTGCAAGCTCCAAAACCTGGCGTATTTGTAAAGCTTTGTGCATTTGGATATTAGTGTGGTTGTCACCCAACTTCTCCAGCCTGGAGGCTTGCTGGCTGGGTGCTGTCAGCCCCAGCCCTCTGCCTCAGACCCCTCCTCACAGGCAGAAGGCAACCTAACCCAGGTTATGAATATATTCATGAAAAACGATGATGGGTTGTGGTAAATTCTGTGGAAGCCCCTGACAAGGATATGGGAACCAAGAATGACAACACAGGGGAGGGGTGCATAGCAAGACTGAGGTATAGGAGTCAGCCTCCCCAATACCCAGATCTCCCAAACCCCTTGTGTCCTAGAACCCAGGTGGTCCCTGTTTAAACAGGGACCTCAGCACAGAGCACTTTACCACCAAGACTGGGGAAGGAAGGGAAAGGATGATCTATCTACTTCCCATACTGGACCAGAAGATCCTTTTTTTTTTTTTTTAATTGATTTTTTTTTTTTTCAAAGAGGAAGGGAGAGGGATAGAGAGCTAGAAACATGATGAGAGAGAAACATTGATCAGCTGCCTCTTGCACATCCCCCACTGGGTACATGTCCTTGACCGGAATCGAACCTGGGACCCTTCAGTCCGAAGGCCGAGGCTCTATCCACTGAACCAAACCGGTCCCGGCTGGACCAGAAGATTCTTGAAATTAAGGATACAGCTTTATTCATCCCTTGTCCTTTGCACTATGTAGCATATAATAGATGGTCAAAAAATGTTTCAGTTAAAATAAATGCTAATCACAATAGTTACTACCTCATTGAGAGAAAATATTTTAATATACAAATAAATAAAGCAAACATATTAGAATATATATAGAATCCCTAAACACATGTTAGACTTCCATTTTCAACTCTGAAAGAGCTTGTAAATTATCACTGTTTTTAAAAAATATATATATATTTTATTGATTTTGTACATAGAGGAAGGGAGAAAAATAGAGAGTTAAAAACATGAGAGAGAGTCATCGATCAGCTGCCTCTTACACACCCCCTACTGGGGATGTGCCCGCAGCCAAGGTACATGCCCTTGACCAGAATTGAACCTGGGTCCCTTCAGTCCCCAAGCCGACGCTCTATCCACTGAGCCAAACCGGTTTTGGCATAAATTATCACCCTTATCCTCAGTAGAAAAAGCTGGACAATCTGACAATCAACAATTTTTTTTTTTTTTTTTACCCATCAGAGAACAAGAGTTAATATTAATTGAGCCCCTAATGCAATAGACACTTTACTAATCATTGCATTGATTTTATCATTGTCCCCACTTCAGAGATGAGTAATCAGAGGTTCAGAGGAAACCAGGGTAACTTGTTCAAGGCCACAAATGTACACCAGGAAACGGCCAGTATGAGAAGGGAAGGACCCATGGTCACTCAACCTGTGCTTTTCGCCCTATACCTTCCCCGCAGATGGGAGAAGACATGTGCCTTGCACCGGGACTTAAAGAAACAACAACTTTCAGGTAACAGTCTGGCCTTTCCCAGGGCCCAGGAGCTCAGACAGAACTCATCCGGATGTGTATTGGCCCAGAGCCATGTAGAGGCCTGGAATTACTCTTTGACCGACAAGAGTAACTGTCGAAGCTCATCCATCTCTGAACTCTCTCCTGGAAGAACCCGAGTCTCTGTCACCTCCTCAGGACAGAGGCCAACCGTCACCCTTCTAATTATTATTATTATTTTTTTTAACGCATTTACTCATCCAGGATGATGGGTTTCCTACAAGAAGGACCAGAAGTGCCTTCCTCCCAGGAAGGGAATGACGCCTTCTCACTTCCCCTGCCCCAGACAGGCTGACCCACAGGTCTCCTGACCTGGGAGATAACCCTGAGGGCCATCCCAGCTGGCTGGAGGGCGGAGGGCAAAGTCCCTCCGAGTTCTCAAATGCGTTCCATCAGGCCATCCAGACCCTCTCTTGACAAGAGCTACAATAGGCGGCATGTTTGAGTGCTGGGGCTCTGAGGTCAGGCCGCCAGGAAGCAGAACCTGGAGCCTTCTCTATTGCTACCTGGGCATATTAGACCAGCCTCTTAGCATCTTGGAGCCTCTGCTTCCCACTGTGAAGCGGAGATAAAGAATAGTATCTACTTGACAGGCATGCTCTGAGTAGTAAGTGTGTATTCATTCATTGAATGAAGCTGCTTGTCTATTGCATCTGTGGCAGGTTGACTCCAAGAGCTAGATTATCAGGGAGTCAAGGCAAGAAGCCATTTCAGTCTTGCAACTATTTATTTATTTTTTAAACACATAGGAAATTTTTTTCTTTTTTTAAAAAAAAATATATTTTTATTGATTTCAGAGAAGAAGGGAGAGGGATAGAGAGAGAGAGAGAGAAAGAGACAGAGAGAGAGAGAGACAGAAACACCAATGATGAGAGAGAATCATTGATCAGCTGCCTCCTGCATATCCCCTATTGGGGATCGAGCCCACAACCCAGGCATATGCCCTTGACCAGAATTGAACCTGGGACCTCTCCGTCCGCAGGCTGACCCTCTATCCAGGGGTCTTCAAACTATGGCCCGCGGGCCACATGCGGCCCGCAGAGGAGTCTGATCCGGCCCGCCAGGTTTTTTGGGCAGTGAGCGCAGCCGAGGTGTTACAGTAGGAATTAGTAGTTCATATAGTCCGGCCCTCCAGCTCTCTGAGGGACCGTGATCTGGCCCCCACTTTAAAAAGTTTGAGGACGCCTGAGTCCTAGCCAAACCAGCTAGGGCAGTCCTGCAAATATTTAGTGAGCATTTCCTGTATA